TACTTCACGCAAATTTATATCTTCATTAATGTTTGGAACCAACATGTTTACAAATTTCAATAAGCATCATCTTTTCTAAAAATTATCCGATTTCGATGATTTTTTTCTCCTTTTGTAGGGAATTTCATAATATTTTATATAATCATGGCCATAAGTGCATAATTTAGTTATTCGCAAATAAAGTTTGTTTTCTTTCTTAACATTTTTGTCTGAATTTTCTTGGTGATTGAACTATTTTTCCCGCCTAAATGAGAAGGAAACCTTCAAAATCGGTGGCTCAATCTTGGGATTTGATGGAGAATTAACGATGATATGGCTCATCGACAAAATAAACACCTTTGATAAACAATATAAACTCCTCCTCTCTCGATCATAGAGGCCTCAAGTGGGAGAAATGAGACATGTATTCCATGACAGTAACGCCATTAACGTAATGTTGTGAGGATGCGAACCCTTTGCCTTACATTATCTCGAAAATACAACGTTTTTCGGCTTAAGAAAGCAGGGCCCGATAGTTCCTCAGTGTACGGATCACAATCTTCAAAACTCAATTTATGCCGATCTACCGACTTGTTACCGTTGCAGTATTGAAGTCTAGCTAAATGTTTATATCGACTTTATTTATTTTAGAAAGAAAAACAAAAGCGTAGAGTATGATTTGGCCAAGCCCCGTGAAATTTTAAATAAAACGGTACCACATTCATGGTATTTGAGCATGACAGGAGCTTATTATTTGGTACGAAACCCCAGCCTTACTTCGAGCCTTACTCTAATAACATATGTAGGATTTGGGTCCAAATCCTAGGTCTTTCAAATCCTTGCAATAAGTATTAAAAATGGATAAATAAAAAACATGTTTCTAAGCTAATTTAAATTCAACTACGATATACCTATTGACGATGAGATCTTGACAGCTACATATGCAGACGATACAGCAATCCTCACAAAACATCAAGACCCTACACAGGCCTCACTAACTCTACAACATCATTTGCTTAAACTACAAGATTGGTTCACACTATGGAAAATTCGACTTAATCATGACAAATCCAAACATATAACATTTACTCTTCGAAAAAACACCTGTCCTCCAGTTTATATTGACAACAATCAAATTCCTCAAACGGACACGTTTAACACAACTTTACCTTGGACTCACCATCGACAGAAGGATGACATGGGGCACACATGTTAAAATGAAACGCATGACACTTAACAAACGACTCAAACTACTTTACTCTCTTTTTGCCAAATCTTCAAAACTAAAACTAAAACAGAAACTGAATACATATACATACTTACTTAAGTCCATATGGACATACTCATCACAAATATACGGCATCTCTAAAAAGACCCACCTACAAAAACTTCAAACGTTCCAATCAAAATTATTGCGACTCATAACAAAAGCACCTTGGTACGTGACTAACAAAACTCTACATCCTGACCTACACTTTCCAACAGTTGACCAACATATAACGACCCTATATCAACGATTTTACACAAATTTAAACGGACATAATAACAGACTTATAAGAGACATGGCCACAGCTGACATACCTCAGAACATGAGGAGGAGACTAAAAAGGCGTTGGATGAGGGATCTCCTTCCTTAGACGACCTAAGTAATTGGAACAAGTTAGGGAAGAGGTACTGCTGAGTACTTTCCTTCCCCATGCCTGTCTTGTCATTTTATCATTATCGCCATCGCATTTGCTGATTGTCAACTTATTGTTGACAGGCGCAAATACATATTTAATAGACAAAAAAAAAAAAAAAAAAAAAAAATTCGACTTGAGTAATAGTTGTACATTACGTAAATTAATTAAAAATCTAAACCTGAAAACCTAATTTATTTAACTAATAAATTTAATTGTAATTTCATTAAATTTCATTGCTGGTTAGTAATTAAGTATTTGTTTACATTTGATTGATAGATTCCTATATTAATTTATTAGACAAATGATACTCTACAATGTTTTATCCATATATATATATATATATATATATATATATATATATATATATATATATATATATATATATATATATATATATATATATATATATAAACTAAGATGAACTATATATATTATTATTTATTTGTGTAATTGTTCTAGCAACTAATCTTAATTGATGAACATTAACTACACAGCGGATATATAAACTATACACAAGAAGCCTTTTACTAAGCAATTTATTTAGTAACCAATTATGCAAGCTACTAAGGAGGAGTAATTGCAAAGGGCATTCATTCTTGTTATAATAAAATTAAAATTACTATTTATAAGTAGCTCTAAAATTGCACAATTTATCATTTAAAAATGCCGCTTTAGCCGCATAATTCACAGGTAGAATTCTTAAGTAATAGAAAACGCACAGTTTGAGCAAGAGGTACGAATAAAAAAATCTTTCTGTAGAAAGTTCCGTAAATTGAAAAACCGATTTCAAACAAGGAGTGGCTTTTAGTTAACAACTATAAATAGTTTCAATATCGTAATAAAATAAATCATATAGGGCAGTTAAATGAATTTATTTATTTAAATTTCCATACGTTGTGTATATTTTAAAATTCCAATTATATTATGTCACCTTCTGTATTTTTTTTTTCAATTAATGAAACATTCTCATTGGGGATTAGAGGCGATACCTGCCAATTGGTTCGTACATCAGCGAAATAAAACAGTTAATTGAATTATCCCTAATCCGCGAAAAGAGAGAGAGAAATGTAACCCGTTACTGATATTGTAACGGGTTCCTGACAGGGGCCGAATATTAAAAATGTATCGCGTAACGTTTCCATGTCACGTTGAATTCGCAAACGAGCCTACGTCTGAGTGTCATTTCACATCTGGCTAATCGAATTACAAAGCTCACGGGAAAATTTTAAGTATGAAAACGACAGGGCTTACATGGGTGTAAATATTAAATAATCATCGTGTCATAGATGTCTCTGTCCATAAAGTTCATAATTGGTTTCAATGGAATGACTAACCTAATTAAATTTTGTAGGAAGTAATATCTAGTATTGAAAAATAACAGTACAAACGAATACTTTATTTTTAGTTCAAATAGATTGAGTTGCCATGGAGATCTACTACTAATCATCAAAATGGTAGATTACATAAACATAGAATCAACTATTATTCTGTTGAAAACTAAAAAAACAAAAAACAAATTGATATTCTTATAATACATAAGTATTATTCTGTTTAGTAAAAATAAATGGTTTTGTTAATAGATTAAAAAAACATTAGTTAACTGAACCGAAACAATTTATTGAGAAGTCATCAGAATAATCCTTGATTGGATAAATTTTGTTCAGAATAATTATCCAGCGAATCATTAGTAAACGAAAGCAGATTTTAAATAGGTTTAATTTTCACTTATCGTTTATTTAATGCATGCAGAAATAAATAAACAGAAGTGCCCATCTCCCCTCTCCCCACGGTCGATGGCGCATGAATCTTCCTCCTCCCTCCCAAATCTCCCAAGACATTTCATTGCTCATTTCTTAAATCAGTGCAAGCGAAAGTAGAATTAGAAAAATCTTGGATTATTTAAAATTATCCTTGTTGCGGTATGTTTCTCATTTCTCCTTGTATTTTCGTTTGAAACCATTCCACCGAAAGTTCATAACATCTTCGAAAAGTATCCTCCTCAAAACTTCAAAATCCTGTAAAAATATACCCGTTTAACAGTTTTGATGACGCAATTTGCGCCATGAAACCGTTTGTGGGTATCTCTACATGCAAAAATAGATTTATGTACAGTATATAAGACCAATAGCGAGTAGGGTAGCTCAGTGGTAGGGTACTGATCTTCCAATGCTAAAGGTTCCCGATTCCCGATGACAGAAAATTTATTTATCAGTTTCATTGGCCGTTTGGCGACCCTGGGTCGGGAGACCCTCATGGAGCATACCCAGTCTCTACAAAGTAGGCACCCTTAATTAAATAATTGATTAAGGGGGAAAACCTGGCGGTTGAGCGTGATCTAGGTCAAATCATCTCCTTGCACAACCGTTGACCAAAAACAGCAGCACTTCCTTACAAAATATTCAACCCAAGACCCTTCATGAGTTGCAGTGGTACAGTTTTTTTTTAATGTGTTTTATTTATATAAGACCAATAAATACATTGAACTAAGAAAAATAAATTGAAGAAGAAAAAAAAGTTAAACACCCTCGAAATTGGAGTAGGTATCTTTCAAGATATGTCGAATTCGAAAATGGAATAAAAAAACAAAAAAAATCCATTCGTCCGCTGGGTTTTTCCTTCAACGTTACGAGATCACTCAAATATAATCCTCAAAACTCGAAAATAGCACACACCCTGTCGTTTCAAAATGGCGGCCGAAAAACCAGTATCTTTAAAGACTGTAGTGTCAAAATAGCGGCAACGTTATTAAAAAATTAATATTGGTTAATGTAATTTTTGGCCAGATGTAGTTTTTATTTTTTTTGTTCATAACTGTTATTCATAAGGGACCTCGTCCCAGAATAAAGTTTACTTTCTATCTATCTATCTAAAACTTGCCTAAAATCTTTTCCTTGAAGCCTTTTAAGTTTCTACATATCCTTCCTATGGATGGATTGTCACACTTCCTTTTTTTTTGGGTAATTATTGACATAATACATTTAATTGCCATTAACTGATGATTATTACAAAGAATGTATTTTGTTTACTATTTATAGATAACTTGAGAATGAGTAAACTGCTCGAAACTTTATATATATAGATATATGGATATATTTTTTTTTTTTATGGGAATTTTCTTGGATAGAAAACTTGAGGGTTTCAATAAAATGAAACCAATAACGAACTTTTGAACGAGTGTTAATAATATGACAAAAAAGGAGTCTGTACCACGGACTATAATATTTATATAGTACATATATTATCTCTAGTAATCCTGTAGCTGTTACCTAAGCGTGATCTACTGATCCTGGCACAATAGCCACAGATCCAGACCCAACCCTAAGACCCTCTAAGAGCTAAATGATTAGACGAGGATACCTGGCGGAGACCCGGGGTTCAAAGAGGCGTCCTCGAGCCGCTCATGAAATATTCAGGCAGCTAATCCAAGGCGCCATCAATATTGGCTCAACAGGGGACATTGTCATTCATCAGCTCAATTTGGGGTAACCGGTTAACCACAGTGCCGAAGCAATACTCGTTCCTCTTTCATTTTAACTGTTATTCAGTAACGTATCTATTCGGTACCGAGGTTACTATGTACCTATACTAGGTAAAGAAAGTATTGCAATCGGATCAAATTTCCGATATGCGGTTTCCGATGGATCTATACGTTTCAGAGCCCTCTGAGTCCGAAAAACACATTTTTAGCCATTCTGTCTGTGCCAAGATTTTCTTGGAAACTACTGAACCGATTTTGTTGCTTTTTTTTTTTATTTTGTAGGGTTTTGACTACTGATGCCTGAGACTGAAATTCGGTGCTCCATGTGCAATAGCTTTTGCGCAATAAATGAAAAACATGTTTTTCTATAGAATATAGAGCGAAAACGGCTCAAACGATTTTGATGAAATTTTCCTATAATGTTCTAATAATTGTCCTTCCAATTTCTGTATATAGACTAATTCCTCGAAAAAAAGAAAACTGTTATGGGGTATATATTATTCGGTAAAATTTATAATAAAACATTTGAAAGGCAATTAAATTACCAACAAAATAAAAAATCGTCCATTTTGGACAACTATTAACGAAGTTACAGTTCAATTTCCATTGGAAGATTACGGGTGTCAGAAAGGGATGAATGAGAGAATGAAGATGACTAAATGAAAGTAAGAAAATCGGTTGCTCGCATCACACAACCTTCACTATTTCCTCTACGTTTAACAGAAATTATTGTTTGACAATACGCTAAATTTAAGCTATGGAAAAAAGTTTTTGATCATCAATATTAGTGAGTATTGGAATTTTTACACTGATCTACCTTAGGCCGGTTTACATTGCTTTACTTTATCAAATAAATCGTACTCAAATCTTTTCTTCGATCAAGTTTCAGAAAAATAAATCGAGTTCAATTCTTTTTTGTTTCTTCATAAACAAATGTAAAGATATAAAAACTTTTCTGAAATAGGTAGGAAAGTCGTGTGAGTGGACACACCAGATATTGTGGAATAAGAATCGATGTTATATTTATATCAATGAGAAAATTGCTGCAATATACATCTTAATTTTTCATTCTATAATTTTCGTTTTCTTTCTCAAATTTACAAACTTTTTTGGTTGGGAAGGAGTGACAGATTCTCTACTGCCTTTTCTATACCCACGAATGAATTTTCGATTAAATCATTACCCTGAATTAACAAATCAGGAAATCTGAGACCTTGATGGTCACATGTAATTTTTATTTTCGTTTACACCTTAGGTGGTGAGGGAGTTATTATTCTAGAGGTACGACGAAACCTATTTTAATCAGACAGAGAAGGTGAAGATTTATTTTGTGGGCCAGCCCTGAAATAAATTGTAACCCTCCCAGGCCGGATTTGAATCGGCACTGTTAGGTCTTAGAACTTTAAAGCGGGCCTTCCTCTTTCTCCCCTTCCTCGTATTTTTCAATACAATGGTTTTCCAGGTCCAGAAGTGAGGGCGGAGGATTAATCCCAGAGTTGAATACTCCCTCGCCCCCTCTTTTTCGGTACCGGGACGCGAACTCATTATTATTTTTTCATGATATCTTTAGTTCATCAGACGACGCCCGTGGCCATTACAAGTTGAAATTTATTTCGTTTTGGAACGAATCGACCGAGTTAAATAGAATGGTTGTATGTATAAAATAAATCCCTCACCTTCGTATCTCATAAATGGCCAGCTAAACATTGAAAGGGGAAACAAATGTAGAAAATAACACTCTAGTTATTATTTTACATAATTAATATTTTACTTCTCCCCCACACCTTTAACTTTAGGCCAAAATTGAAAAATCGCTAGCGTTTCTAGTTTTTTATTTTTAATTTAACGTTTCGGGGACGCTTCTATTGCTGACTGAGTCTATAAAAAGTGGAGGAATAACATTAGTTTTTTTTAGTTATTGTAACCTGTAATTATATTGAGGAGTTATAAAATATAATACATAAAGTCCAGGAATAAAAACCAATATATTTTTCATCTTACTAGAGGGATAACTGCTTGAGAAGGAAGATGCTGCTATGTTCGAGAGTATTATGGCTTTATAACCTGATAGAAACCGGGATTGGCGTTGGTTGAAATTTATTTTACAGCAGAATCTCAACCATCCCACTCTAGTTATAATAGGATTGGTCGTACCTCTATTATGCAAGAAATACCGAAGTAGTGTATTATCGGAGGAAAATGCAATATTTTTCGTTGCTAAATTAATCACAGAATTTTAAAAAATCAAATATATTTTCTAAATAATCATGAATTTTGAGTTATTGTTGCAATGAATGAGCGACGTCTAAATAGATCGATAGTAATGAAATTTCTGGCAGCAACAGTTGTCGAACGACAGTTCTGACCCCAGACAACAACATGATTAACTGATATCCCTTTGATTAACAGTTGTGATAAGATTGAAGCCGACAAGGGGCGACCGAATGCTCGCTGCCTAATAGATTTAGGTTCAGCTGGCGGCCACGATGAGCACAAATCTGTTCTCCCGGTAACTTGTTAGTTCCAACTGCTCTCTCAGAGTTCGCTCTTGTATTTACCGCTATTAGCAACTTAACAAACTTACATTCATCTCACTAGTTATATCTCATATAACAGTAGTAAATATTTTAATATTTTTTTTAATACATTTTATAAGGATTTAAAAAAAAAAAATTGATTTGTAGATTTTTTAAGATCTCCTTCTATATTTTTCTGTCCAGGACTCATTCATCTCAAAAACAATTTGCCAGACAAGATTCTTATTAATTTTCAAAAGTAAACCGCTCTTAGCAACATTTCTTTAATATAATCTTTCATTTCTCATTTTATCCATTATATATTCTCCTCATTCACTGACAGAAATCAATTTCTGTTGACAGCAGTTTCTTAAGATCACCCTTTAATGGTCCAGATTTCCGCTTCATAAGTTATAATCCTCAATACTATACTTATATTATTTGGTACCCCGAGAAACTCCCATGTCTCTCACCACTACACTGAGTTAAAGTGGCTCTTCCCCTCCATTCGGAGACAATATTTCCTAGGTACGTTCCTCTATCAAATCATCAACAATCATCGTCCTTCTTACGCCTACAACCTTCTTCAATTCAAGTCCTCAGTCCACTCCCTTTCCACAAGATCTCGACCTTCCGATCTTTACATTCCTTCTCACAGATCTGCCTCGTTCCAAAACTCCTTTATTGCTAGCTCTGTTAATTTTTGGAATCCCCTTCCTATCAAAGTTCGACATTCTTCATCCCTATCTACATTCAAAACCCTCCTATTCCAATTCCTGTCCCAAAAACAATCAGGTACCCCCTAACCTTTTATGTAAAATTACATATTATTCAAAATGATGTATTTACATATAGCTCATCGCTTAAATACTTACTATTAGATTCGACTTTTTTTTCTTTTTTTTTCAACAGAAACACACAGAGAGTTTACTGCTAAGAAGAATGTAATGTATTTTTTATTTTTTCTAAAAGTGTATATTTATATTTTACAATTGTATATAATTTTAATTGTCGCTTGGCATTGTTTCAAGAGTTTTGTATATAGATTTTTTTATTTTGTATATAGTATGTATAACTAATATTTTCTTTAATTATTTACTTATTATTTTTACTTTTTATGTTTGTTTTTATTTGGCCAGATATAATATTTTAATTTTGTACTTTTTTGTTATTCTAAAGGGACTTCGTAACAGAATAAAATTATTTTCTATTCTATTCTGTATAATATTGTTTGGTTTAAGAATATTTCTATACCACAATGCTAAGTTGAATTTTCATATTATCTTCTTTTCTTCTGCAATCCCTATTTTTATTTCGATAGAGCAAGAACCACCTAATTAGATTATAGAAAAACCTTTGAATTGATAAATTTGAAAATTGATAGCTAAGTAATCCTCAAATAGACATTGTGTGTGTGTGTGTGTGTGTGTGTGAGAGAGAGAGAGAGAGAGAGAGAGAGAGAGAGAGAGAGAGAGAGAGAGAGAGAGAGAGAGAGAGAGAGAGAGAGAGAGAGAGAGAGAGAGAGAGAGAGAGAGAGAGACAGCAGTAGGCACGGACGAGCTGACAAAGGACACACCCCCTCGCCCTGAGAATTAGTAGGGAGCACCCCCTAATCCTTACTCTACTTCCCCCAACTGTAATAATATTCATTTATTCACTCTTTTATTCTTTTCGTTATTTATTCATGTCCTCCAATTAGTTCTGAATCCTTCCTATTACCTTTCCCATTCAATTTTACCTTCTTTTAGTAAAAATATTCAATTTCCGATGTTTTCACTTTATCCCGACATCAAGGTTTAAAGAAGCAAATTGATAAAGATTTAAGTTAAAATGTCTCCTTCTATTTTCATAACATAACATAAGTTGAATATTTTGTTAATAATATTTTTAAATTTAATACGTTTATTCATCGAAACAGCAACAACGATATAAGTTTGATTTCCTCAATATAATAATATCATAGGAAGTCAAGTAATATGTATATATTTAAGTAAATTTTATGTAACAAATCATGTGACTCTCGTAAAATGATAAAACAAGAAGTGTTAGCTAGTCAAATAATAATAAAAATTGAATGCAATATTTTTGTTTCAAAATTAGTAAACTTATGAGGACGCATATTTTGGAAACTATTTATTTATTTATTGGCTTATGAACAGCGTAGCCACGGTGTCTAGCCCAATCAACGTTAGTTATAATTAGTTTGTAAATAACAGGTACAATATAAGACATGATATAATCAATGACAACATAAGAAAAAGAGAGATCAATACATTAATATTAAACAAATTGTTTAGATCAATATAAACTAAGTTTCACTGTAGATTAACTACAAAATAAATATAATTAAAACAGAAAAATAAAATAAAAATCGTATAAGAAACGGTGATACATAAAGTGAAATATACATCTTTAAGTCGCAATAATGCGATGTATTTGTTATCATAAAGTATCCACACAAGATTATATTGGTATTGAGATGGTTAGATAGGAAATTACATACTATCCTACCAACGTTCTCCAGGCATTCTTCAAAGTCACAGTATCGGGACAAATAAACATTTCTCAACATAACATTTTTATTAATAAATTGAAAAGTAAGTATGATCATTTATTGGTTATTTTCTAAAACAGTAACTTTCCCTTTATTTTTTATTACTGAATTGTTTTTGAACGTGACTGTACTTCCACTTTCCCTACCTCGCTGTTTAATTTTAGCAGCGTTACTAATAAACGGACTGAAATTTTTTAGCCAAGTTTTGGAAACTATGCATAGCGAAAAAAAGAATACAACCAATTCTGTTGAAAATTTCGTCACCTTTAATTTTATATGAGACATTATTATGAAACTGGAACACATATTTTCACTTATAAGAGCGGAAAAACAGAAAAAGGGAACATTTTGAATCGTAAATAAAATTTTTACTTTTAATTCCTGGATGTTTACTTGAAATCCCCGAATATGGGGAACTGAAAATTATTCCATTTGTTAGGACAATAAATAAAATAAATGTAAAGGATTGGTAGCTCTCTATATTTTTTTGTCAGTTTTTCAATGTATAAGATTATAAGTCTTTGAGCAGTATTTAATTGAATACTAATATTGTATGCTCTCCTCTATATGTGTATCATCTTTTATTTTCTTCGATCAATCTATAGCTTAGGATATAGATTATATAACACTTTTATAATGTTTACAATACTATTATTGTATTCATTTGAACAATCATCAATATATCATTGTAAATCATTTATAGTAAATATTTATCTGCTCTTTTATGATTATTTTTTCATTAATTCAATGGTATGACAACACAAGCAATTTATAGTTCATTTAAAATTTCATTTAGTATTCCATAGTTTATCGTTTGTAGCAACTAGTTTGCAGTATTGTGACCATATTGGTCATATTATTTCTTTGATATATCTGTATAGTCATATAAATACTTCTGTTATCACTTAGTTTTTAGTTATTTTTTTATTGTAATATTTATTTTGGCCAGATGGTATGTTAATTTTTATGTACGAAATTGTTATTCTTAAGAGACTTTGTCCCAGAATAAAATTGATTCTTCTATTCTATTCTATTCTATCGGACAAGAATATTTGAAAAGTTATTTCATTTATTTATTAACCAAACAAAAATGTGGAACATTAGATTAAATTGCAATCTGCAAATTTCATTGCAATAAGCAAATTTTTTAGCAGCTTCACAGCTTCCCATCACGTCCGGGATATAAATCAGATCAGCAGGTCTCTTGGCCAACGCCTACGTAATCGTCGTGGTGGGCTGTAGTGGTTTCTTGTACGATGAAGGATTTCTGTCAGAGGATTCATGTTGTACGTCAGTCTTTGGTGAAAGTTATTGTATTTTTCCTTTGCAGTATCTAAAATTGTAGGTACGTTTAAGTCTTTATGTAGTGTGTCATTTGCGACATAAAAAGGTGCGTCAACTATCCTTCGCAACACTTTTGACTGAAAGGACTGAAATTTTTTTAATGTTGGAAGTTTTAGCAGAGCCCCACAGTTCTATGCCGTAAGTCCAAATAGGTTTAAGTAAGACTTTATTTGAATTATTTAATATTTGAAAAGTAAAAAATAAATTCACATTATATTGTAATAGTGAACATTACCGCCCATGAAAGCGGCTAAATTGCGAAAATCCTATGAGTGAGGGATATATTTCTTGATTTAAACGATTTCCAATTGTAATGGAGGATACTCGAACTGTGATAAGATGCTTTCAGGATCAGTGTAGCCACCTCTCTAACTTCAAAGGCCTCTATTTGCCTGTGTAAAGATATTCTCTATAGTAAAAGGCTGTTGGTAACACTGATAGCTCGGCTATCATACCCGATACCCTAACCTTATTCCACGACTCCACTTTACACCCAGTCAACTCCATTTCCTCCTTTATAGGCTCTTTCAGTCTGCATTATCTATTGTTATCCTGAAAATATCGAAAGGGTGAGGTATGAATCCTCAAAGAAAGCTTTATAATAAAAAAGTAGGAGAGGAATATAATAAATATAAATCGATGACATGTTGAAAATATTAGGAACCAAAATAAACTTCCTTACAAAGTAATGAATCCAATATCCAATAACCTCCAAGAGTGGTAGAAGTATAAGTTTTTAAACGCTAATGTTTCAGGAAAATATTGTAATAAAATAATAATAATAAAAATATTTATTCATAAATAATATAAAAGGGGTCTCATTTCTTGATGGCCAAAGTCTGGGAGGGGGGATGATTCTAGACAAAATTTTCAACAAAAAAGTACATTTGATGCATGGTTCGATTCGGAACGGAAAATGAATTAACACCAATTTTGTGTGGTCCCGTTTTTTATTGAATAGAAAGGAATGGTAATTATTTACAAGCGGTACTCCTTCGGCCATCTTGGTTGAATTCAGGTTATACACAATGTTTCAGATAAGGTTTACAAAACACACCACCAAGAAGCGCCACTATTGCGGAGGGGTTGTCTTGTGAGCTCTTGTCC